ATACCACCAAACGAGTATTTTTCCAAACTTTATTAAGATACTCCAAATTTCTTCACTCATTCTATCCATCCTTCCAGAAAAAGCAAAATATTTATAACCTCGAAGAAGATTTCATGTTGTAATCCTGAGAGACAGAAACCCAAGCACAACGAAATTTTTTTTTATTCACTGTTTTATGTTTAAAGTTTTCCAGCAAGAGTTGTCTTACCCAAGCCACCAGGCCCAAATAGAGATCACCAACGCCTTGGCTCATCGGCAAGTAGTTTAGCCAGTTCGTTGGTCTCGTCCTCGTAGCCAACAACTTTCTTTCTAACGAAAAGGAGGTGGTTTTTCTCAGCTGTCATTCTTCTAAGAGCATGATTCTCTTCGTCCGTCTTGATATTGAGTTTCTAGGCCATACGATACACATCTACCAAAACGGCACTGAGTCTCTTTTTCAGAGGTTCAATCTTCTTGCCTATGTTGTACATAGTCACCGTCTCCTTGGCCTTGCGAGACAATTTAGCAATTGGCTTTTCATGGAAGTCATGATCTTTTGCTTATTAGAAGATGCTTCTTCTTTCACTTTGAGCTCTGGCGCGATCTTCCATCTCGGACTTTGAGCATAAATTTATCAAGGACATCCTCAGAATCATAAGCAATATCTTTGATATCAGACACCCATCGCTTACCAAAGAGTTGTCGACTTGTTTCCTCAGCATCCTTCACGAAACCAAGCATCCATCCAGATCTTTTTTCAGCGACTCCACTTCATTCTCACTTGTAAGAAAGTGCTGCTTGTTTCAGATAGTCCAGATAGTCTCCAAGCTGTTCACACAAATGAGACAACTGCATCGCCCTGGTGTCCCAACCGCTTCTTTGGAAATGGAAGTTTGAGAGAGAGAATTAATTTCTTTTTCAGTTTTTGTGCTTCAGAGACAGATGAAAACAGTTTTATTCGCTTTCAAACTCTAATTTTTTGTTTTTTTTTATCCTTGTAAAATGCAATTTGCAGATAATTCACAGGCAAAAAAGTGGGTCAGTAGCTAAAGTTTCCAGCTGGTTTCGCCTCTAGTTGTGGGAAAATTCATTGGTAGGGTAAGGTCATGATTTGTTATATTTCCTTTGATTAAATTTCGCTTTAGCTAGTGAAGCTTTATTCGATATTAGGGCCATGTATGCCTAGCTTTAGCACTCTGGAACTGACTTGAAAGTTGATTATATTCACATTCAATCTAACTTCAATTATTAGTTACAAGATTATCACTCATGAAATAAAAAGAGCACATAGGAAAATGTGACCACAATAGCACTTTAATAAAGAGAAAAAGAAAAAGTAAAAGAAACATAATAGCGGGGAGACCAGTGTAAAGTATTCCGGGCTTCCTTGCCTTCTCCTCTGTTCACCGAAACTACTAGTTAGCATAACAATTGAAACTTTTTATTTTATTAATTTTTCTTAATTATAATTTGTCGAACATACAAGATTGGATTTTATAATTATTTTAATAATATGTATCTTATCATTGAAAACTGCGAGATTAAGTGTCTAATGTGCTTCTTGAATCTCTTTTTTTCTTGAAGTTCATGCATCATTTGATCGTCTAATCCCTGTCCTCAGAGATGATGATTCAGATTTGTTTGTTGTGTAAAATATGTTTAGAATTTATTTTATATTTAAATTAAAACTGATATTTTAAATAAAAAATTACTAAAAAGACCACTATTAGGTTCACTTCTATCCTAAAATTAGGTTACATATTCTCACTCTAAATTCTTTACTAAAATGATCACTACATTAAAACATCTTTATAATGGTACTTTATATCGGAATAAACTCTGCATAGTCATAAAAAATTCTAATCCCAATCTGGGATAGTTATAAATAAGAATAAACTTCATATTGTTATATGTTATAATTTTTTTAATTCTCACTTTAAGGAAAACTGCCTTTACATGGTGATAATTATCTTTATATTACAAAAAAAATATATTTTATATTACATTGAAGGTTTCAGATGAAATAAAATAATTATCTAAAGTTATTTGAGACAATAATTTATGTTTTAGAGTTGTTATCATATATTGTAACTTGCGAATACGTAATAACTCGTTAGCATGGACACCTTCTTGTTGAAATCAAAATATTTTTAGCTTCTCAAGCATCGTTAGAGCTTTATGGTACAAAACTTTTTATATTTTTATAGTATCATCCTTAGGATTATTTCTTTTCTCTTCCTATCTAATTACAACAATGATTTCTTCTTTAATTAAAGCACACACAATTTATTGCTCATTTGGATGATCGAGGAAGAAATTAATATTCATTTGTTTGGTGTAGTGAAATTGTCGAATCTGACTACTCAATTCTGCAATGACTCTTTTATTATTCTCATTCACTTCATTTGCAACTTGCAATTTATTGACATCGATAGTCCTAATTTTGTAGTGCTTAAAACCATTAACAATTGTCTGTGGTTTCATATCAATTGACCATGCATCAGTTATATTTACAGTTCCATCAATGACATTTATCTTTGTTGATTTTAAGACATGATTTTTTATCAGTTTTAAAAGTAAGCAATTGAAGTGTTGAATTGAAATTTTGATAATACTAAAATATGAATTGAAATCCTAATATTGTATTACTTATAAAAAAAAGAAATCAAAACAATAATTTTTGTAACTACATCTCTATCAAGTTATAATTTCTTTATAGTGATAAAATTAGTTGATTTCACCATTATGATTATAAAAAGGTTTATTATATTAATAAAAAAGATAGTTTTGGAATAAATTATGATGTATTTTATCAAATAATAGTTAATAATGATATTATATAAAATGGGCCTCAAAAAGTTTTAGTGTAGCTCAATTAGCATTAGTCGTTCAAAAATCACTTCCCTTTATTCCAAAAAATGGGGGATGCGGACAAGGACGGGGACTGGGAAATTCCCCGTCCTTGAGGATAGGGTGGGGACAAAAATAGAGGTCTCCCCGCCCCGGCCGCTAATGAAACAGTTCATCCATTCTAGATGTTTTTTCAGTGACTCCACTTCAATTCTTATCCCTCGGAAGAAGGCTGCTTCTTGGATTAGATAGTCTTCAAGCCTGTTAACCACATATGAGACTACTGCATCCACCATGGTTCCCAAGCTACTGTTGTTTTTTCTTTTTCTTTTTTCACTAAAGATCTCTCCCTTTGGAAATTGTAGTTTAAGAGGAGAATTAATTTTCTTTCAGTTTTTGTGCTTCGGGGATAGAGGATAAATAGTTGATATTCGCTTTAAAATCTAATTTTGTATTTGTTCTTTTCCTATGCTTCATAAAATGCAATTTGTAGTTAATTAATTCATAGACAAAACGTGTTGACTAGGTAAAGTTTCCAACTGGTTTCATCGCAAGTTGTGGGAAATTTCTATGGGTTGGTAACATTATAGTTGTCATTTCCATCGATTAAATTACAGGGGTGTTTATTAAATTAAGATGTTTTTATAATTTTTAAATTCTACCTTGTTATTACCATCAAACTTTTACTTTTTTAAAAACTATATCCAAAATACTAAAATAAACTCACTCTTGAATATTTTATCTATGTCTAAAGCTTCTCTCGAATTAACCATATGTGACTCTAAGCCTAATTAGACTCAACATAACCTCTCTGATGTTTGAGTCAATCATATGTACTTGAGAAAGTATGCAATTACTATCAAATGTGAGTGTATAGGATGCTGGGGTAATGTTTTGGAGTAAAATGTACGTGTTCACCTCATTCAACACACTTGGCCTTTGGCTTGCTTCTAGGATTTTATAGAGCCTTGACTCTAAAGTTTACTTGATAATGTTTTGTAACCCTCATGTGGTGGCCAAAATTGGCAATAACTAGCCCTTAACGTCTGCTGGTTTGCGTGACAGAGGTAACTGCTATGGCAGTGGGCACATGTAATTGAGGTAGCCACCTTGTAATGAAATTTTACTTTTTCAAAGTAATTATTTCTCATGGGTTGGGGATAACAATTTGGGTTGGGGCTCATTATTTTGCATTGACCCATTGTATTCTTGCCTCATATTCTGTGTTTGGGCTTAATTAGGCCCAATTGACTAACTTTGACTAGTCAAATATTATTGGGTAGTGTTACTCTTCCTTCCTATGAACTCTTTACTTTTGGGCCCTTTGGACCCAAAGTCTTATCTTCAACTGCTAACACTTCCTTTCAATAAAGCAAAACTTTCTGCTATTTGGGTTTTCCCCAAAAGAATCTATTTGGGTTAATAAATATTGACGTTAGCATAAAATGTCAACTAAAAGTTCTGAGTAGTTAAATATTATCGTGTTGATTGGTTCTTGAATTTTTTGCATTTATTGGCCATTCATATAACATTTCTTAATATACAGTAGTACAAATCCAGCCAGAAACTCTTTACTACTGAGCACCTTTTTTTTGTAACAAAGCTGAAAAAAATTCTATTGAGCCTTCTCTTTGTTCCCCTGTTTATCCTCTACCTTTAGTTGAAATTTTTCCAGAAATTTTCAGTCTTAGAGCAGCAGTTTCATATTCCTTTTTTATCATTTTAATGTTGAAGGATACGATAATTATAGGTTATTATGCTCAACTTTGACGCCAAATTGTTTCTTTGTATCAGCTTAATTATCAATATTTGAGTTATTTAACTATCAATACTTGTCTAATATTATTTTTCTTTCCCATTCAGCTGGAAGGGGGATTAAATGCAGTTTTTCTAAGCTTAGGTGCAAAAACCACCCAGAGTAATCTGATTCTCGTATTAATCCTTTCTACATAATTTTAAACTTATTTTTAAAATATTCACAATTTCTCAAATACTTAGTATTTGATATTGCACTTTTGTTTCTCTGAAAGCCGATACCGCTACCAAGAAGTATTATGGTACGTTGATGAGTAAAGAGGCTCACATATTTACAGCTGAAACAATATAAAAAACCCAATTGATAGCAAAAAGACAAATTAAATTTGAAAGAAAATACAGTACAAGCACAATAATCACCACAAAGGGAGAAGGACTGATTTTAATCTTTCTGGAAGTTTGAATTGGCCATGGCCTGCTAACAGCAAACCTCTAAGCACTGGCAGAGCTCCATCCTCTATCTGCCACTCCTCTAAATCCTTTGCCATAATAAGTGTCAAACTTTCAAGTCGGGGAAAACCCTTTGCCGCGCACACCATCTTCTTTCCACTGTAACAACCATATCCTAATTTAAGTTCTGTGAGCTTCACCATCTTCTCCAATATTGGCATCGGGTCATCTACGAGTTCGGATTTCCCTAACCATAGGCTTTCTACATTTGGCAAAAGTACATGCATTTCTCCTGGTAGTTTCTCCATCTTCCCATTTAAACACAAGTGTCGGAGATATCGGCAATAAGAGAGTGGCTGCAATGTAGAAAAAAAATGATCATTTGATAACGTGACCGTTAAAATTTTAATACCTTTCAGTTTGGCAATAGAAACGAAATTGAACTTCTTCTCTCTTTCACGGTACACAGATAGTTCTAGCTCTCGAAGATTAACCAATTTTTCAGGATTTGTTTTAGTCCAAGTGTCATCTTCTACAAGCTTCAAAGTCTGAAGGTTTGTCATATTGTCTATCTGCAAATAATGCCCTGTAAAGGGTCCAATTAGATGTCTCAAACTTTGCAGCTTCCAAATTTCGGTTGGTAGAAAGGCATCAGCACCCCACAGATCCTCGCCTAAGTCCAGAGTTTCTAGATTCGACAAGTTGAGAATCGATTCCGGAATATTTTCAATCAGTGTATCTCTCAGTCCCAAGTACTTCAAGTGAATCAACTTATCTATATCTTTGGGTAAGGACCAGCTAAATTCCCCACTGAAACGTTCAAACTCGAGTACTCTTAAGAACCTGAATCTTTTACACACAGTCGGTATGAATTGCTCTACCTTAGGACTCTCTCCATAGAGATCAAAGAACAAAAGAGAACGCAAGAGCGGATTACACTGTTGAAGCCACAAGGTCCCTTTCATTCCAGAATATATAGCTTGTCGTCGACATGATACCTTTGAAGAGTGAGCTGGGTTTCTGATTTCGTCATAAATTTGAACAAGATTGAGTTCTTTTGCCTTTTGAATTGCTAAATCCCGCAAAAGATCATGGACTCGACATGTTGTAACCATCCCCAACCGCATTTGTCCTTTCTGAATAAGGCTCCTGTTAATCAACTCGTTCAAGTAATTGAGAGACACATCTTCCATTATTTCTTCATCATGCGGTATGTAACCCTCAGCCACCCACAAGCGAATTAGTTTCTCTGTTTTGATTTCGAAGTCTTCTGGAAAATTACTTATGTAGAGAAAACACAACTTCAATTGATAAGGTAAATCATTGAAGCTTAAAGCCAATAACTGTGTTATCTGAATGGAATCATTACTTAAATGCCGCCAAATATTATCACATACCAAGTTCCACTCTTGTGGCTTCTTTGTTGACAGTAAACCGCCCAACACAACAATGGCAAGTGGTAGACCTCCACATTTTTCTACCGTTTCTCTTCCCAACTTCTCCAATCCTTCATCTATATTTAAATTCCAAAAAGCCTTCTCACGGAATAGCTGCCAACTCTCCTCCTGGTTTAAAAATCGAAGCTCATGTACATGATTTCTTTCATCTGAACGCTCAGCAACATCTCTGATGCGAGTGGTAATAATTACTCTGCTGCCATTCTTGTTGTCCGGAAAAGCTCTTTTGAGGCTCGCCCATGCTTCAGGGAGCTTAATTCGATCAGTCATTCAAAAATCAATTCCCCTCTACCAAAAAATGGGGGACGAGGACAAGGACGGGGACGGAAAATTTCCCGCTCCGAGGATAGGGCGGGACAAAAATAGAGGTCTCCCTGCCCCGGCCGCTAATGAAACAATTCATCCATTCTAGATGTTTTTTCAGTGATTCCACTTCACTTCTTATCCCTCGGAAGCAGCTGCTTCTTGGTTAGATTGTCTCCAAGCCTGTTAACCACAATGAGACTACTGATCCACCATGGTTCCAAGTACTGTTGTTTTTTTTTTTTTTTTCAATAAGATCTCTCCCTTTGGAAATGTTAGCTTTAAGGGAAAGAATTAATTTTCTTTCAGTTTTTGTGCTTCGGGGTAGAGGATAAACGGTGATATTCGCTTTAAAATCTAATTTGTATTTGTTCTTTCTTATGCTTCATAAAATGCAATTTGCAGATAATTAATTCATAGACAAACGTGTTCACTAGGTAAAGTTTCCAGCTGGTTTCACAGCAGTTGTGGGAAATTTCAGGTAGGAACATCATAGGTTGATTTCTATTGATTAAATTACAAGAGTGTTTATTAGATTAACAAATTTAGGGGCTGTTTTTATAATTTTTAAATTTTACCTCGTTATTACCACCAACTCTTACTTTTCAAAAATTCTATCCAAATACTAAAAACACGACTCTTGAATATTTTATCTATGTCCAAGGCTTCCCTCGAATTAGCCATGCATGACTCTAAGCCCAGTTAGACTCAACATAACCTCTCTCGTTTGAGTCAATCATATTACTGAGAAAGTATGCAATTACTATCAAATTTTGTGATAAGGATGTTGGAGTAATGTTTTGGAGTAAATGTACGTGTTCACCTCATTCAACACACTTGGCATTTGGCTTGCTCCTAGGATTTTATAGAGCCTTGACTCTGAAGTTTACTTAATAATGTTTTGAACCCTCATGTGGTGGCCAAAATTGGAATAACCAGCCCTTAACGTCTGCTGGTTTGATACCATAGGTAACTGCTATGGCGTGGGCACATGTAATTGAGTAGCCATCTTAATGAAATTCTACTTTTTCAAAGTAATTATTTCTCATCGGTTGTGATAACAATTTGGGTTGGGGCTCATTATTTTGCATGACCCATTGTATTTTGTGCTCATATTCTGTTTTGGGCTTAATTAGGCCCAATTGACTAACTTTGACTAGTCAAATATTGGGTAGTGTTATCTTCCTTCTATGAACTTTATCAACTCTTTACTTGGGCCCTTTGGACCCAAGTCTATCTTCAACTGCTAACATTTCCTTTCATAAAGCAAAACTTTCTGCTATTTGGGTTTTCCAAAAGAATCTATTTGGGCATAAATATGAAGTTAGCATAAAATCTCAACTAAAAGTTCTGAGTAGTTTAATATTTCGCGTTGATGGTTCTTGAATTTTTTTGATTTATTGGCCATTCATAACATTTCTTAATATATAGTAGTAGAAATCCAGCCAGAAACTTTACTAGAGCACCTTTTTTGTAACAAAGCTGACAAAATTCTATTGAGCCTTCTCTTTGTTCCCCTGTTTATCCTCTACCTTTGTGAAATTTTTCCAGAAAATTTCAGTTTTAGAGCAGCAGTTTCATATTCCTTTTTATCATAATGTTTAGGATACGATAATTATAGGTATTATGCTCAACCTTGACGCCAATTGTTTCTTTGTATCAGCTAATTATCAATATTTGAGTTATTCAACATCAAAATTGTCTAATATTTTTTTTTTTTTCCCATTCAGCTGGAAGAGGATTAAACTCAATTTTCTAAGCTTAGGTGCAAAAACCACACGAGTAATCGATCTCGTATTAATCCTTTCTATATATTTTAAACTTTTTTAAAATATTCACAATTTCTAAATACTTAGTATTTGATACTGCACTTCTGTTTCTCTGTAAGCTGATACCACTACCAAGAAGTATTATGGTAATTTGATGAGTAAAGAGGCTCATTTATTTAAAACTGAAACATATAAAGAACCCAAATGATGACCAAAAGACAAATTAAATTTGAAAGAAAAAACAGTACAAGCATACAATCAGCACCAAGGTAGGAGAGGAACTGATTCCATCTTTCTGGAAGTTTTAATTGGCTATGCTTTTAACCTCAAACCTCCAAGCACAGGCAGAGCTCCTCCTCTCTGCCACACCCTTAAAATCTTCGCATGAAGTGTCAAAATTTCAAGCCGGGGAAAACCCTTTGCCGTGAACACCATCTTCTTTCCACTGTAACAATTGCGGCCTAATCAAGTTCTGTGAGGTTCATCATCTTCTCCAATATTGGCATCGGGTCATCTACGAGTTCGGAGTTCTATACAATAGGCTTTCTACATTGGCAAAAGTACATGCATTTCTCCTGGTAGTTTCATCTCCCATCCAATATCCGTGTCGGAGATATCGACAATGAGAGACTGGTTGCAATGTAGGAAAAAATGATCATTTAATAAGAAGACCGAAAATTTGAATACTTTTCAGTTTGGCAATAGAATCGAAAGTGAACTTCTTCTCTCTTTCATGGAATAGATAGGTCTAGCTCTCGAAGATTACCAATGTTTCAGGATTTGTTTAGTCCAAGTGTTATCTTCTACATTCTTCAAAGTCGAAGGTTTGTTATGTTGCTTAAGATTTGTTTGGATTTTGCAGTATTACTTGTTTTAGTATAATATTTAACTGCCGTGGTATAGACTAAAGGATTTTTATATCTGTTATTGCATTAACTTGTCATGTTGACGCCAAATGATATAAAATGTAATAATAAATGAAATTACACCTTAAGAGTCTGAAGGTTTGTCATATGTCTATCCGCAGACATTGCCTCTCAAGTATCCAATCAGAGTTTCAAGTTTTGCAGCTTACAAATTTCAGTTGGATAAGAATGAGACCCGGTACTTGTGATCATCGAATAAGTCCAGAGTTTCAAGGTTCGACAAGTTTAGAATGGATTCTGGAATCTCTTGAATCAGTGTGTATCTCTTAGTGCAACCGTAATTGATTCTTATAGTGTGTGTTGTGTGTTTTGACATGTTTGTAAAAGGAAAATTTGAATGTGTTGGTGAAGATTGTATCATGGGGGGGTATTGTAAGGGTGCTGCTGTCAGATTTTAAAGTTACAGTCCAGGTGTGAGACTTTTGGGTTTTAGCAACTGAAAAAAAAAAATTTTGGAGCCAACTAAAGTAGAAATGCTGATGTGGCAGGGAGTTTTTAGATTTATGTACAAAATCAGGGGGGACAGTAATTTAGCAGAAAACTATAAAGGGCAGATTTCGCCAAAATGAAGAAGAGAAAGTAAGGAGAAAAGAGGAGAGAGAGAGAGAGAGAGAAGAGAAAGAAGCAAGAAGAAGAAGAAAAGAGAGAGAGAAGAAAGAATGGGTTCGGCCGAGAGATAGAGTGAGAGTGAAAGTGAAGCAAAAAGGAGTGGAAATGTTGGAGCTGATCACTCTATTTTGGTTTCGGGTACACATGCATTAGTTTGGTTGTGAATTCTTCTTCCTTTCTTCAATTTATGTGTGGTTTTGTTAATAACTTGTCTTTGGTTTAGGTGTGGAGGAAGAAAGTGCTTGAGGTTGCTTCCAATTTTCGGATTGAGCTAAATTGTTGTTGTATGAAAGAGAAGTTCAAACAAAGGATGAAAGGTTTTCACAATGAGAGGAGACGGCAAAAAGGCACTTTCCAGTCTGACTTTTTCATTCATGAGAACAGAGTCATTACAAACATTTGCACTGTATTACCTACTGCAATATAATAAACTTATTACAATTAACTTCAGCAGAAACCAAGCACCTAACCAAGTCTTAGTCTCAACTAAACAAGACACAAAATCTGCATTTAAATGGCTAGATATCTGCTCCACAACCACCGCAGATTTAACAAATAAACTTGAGTAAACTTGAGCTGCAACTTGCCTCCAAAACATATTGAATATTCGGCAGAAAGGTTGTCCCTTTCCAGCAGATTATCACACTTCATCAAATTTTCTCTAAACAAGTTCCAATTTTAAGTCTTGCTTGATTTTTTTGTTAATCTTTTTCACTTGTTTGAAGTGATGTTTGGATTAAATGTGTTTTGTATAGATTTTAAACATGTATTTGCTTTATTGTCTTGTTGGAAGCTTGAGAAGTGTTGAAGTGCATGATTTCATGGAGTTCTTATGTTATAGGTTATGTCGAAGGAGTAACGAAATTGGGTTGAATCTGTCATGTTTGAAACATGTATAAAATTGCACATTCACCCCTGTGATCTTGAATTATATTATGTTAAAATGCATGTGTTTCTTAAGAAGAAATATGATCTTCGATAAGTGTATTTTTAAGCTTGAGTTTCAAAGGTTGCATGTCCAGGTACAGCTTTCTACTTTAATTTGGCTGAAATGGTTTGAATTAAAATTGATAATGGTTATTTTTTGCTTTTAAATCAAGGTTAGAATTAGATGTATAATGAGAGGTTATTGAGTAGAAATTGTTTGGCAATTGTTGTTGACTGAAATTGAGAATTAATACAATAGTTTTATATGGGTAGAGCATATATGTTGATCTTAAAGAATCAAGAGTTAGTGAAGTATGTTTTTGGTTATAAAAAGGTATGTGTGAAATTCTGACAGCCTGAACTTCCGGAAATTCGATATATGTTTTGGGTTTTCAATTGAAGCTAAATTTCAGATATTTTGTTTTAGACTTCTTGAGGATTGTTTGAAAATTCATTCACCAAAATTGGATGTGCTGAAATTTTTATGAATTTTTGAAATCTGCTCTTAATCCTGGAATTTTATGTTTTCTGCAGAGCATGCATTTTTAGGAAACTGATTTAATATACTTATACTCATCCGAAATGAGTGATTTTAAGTTCTGATAAATTCTTTATGTGTCTTGTTTAATTCGGATTTTTCAAGTTAAGGGTGAATAGATATGAATTTTAGAAGTCAGAAACATCAATTTTGGAAAATAGTTTGGCAGTTTAAGAGGTTAAAGAAAATTATGTTTTA